TGTTTTCCCCATCAAAATATGGAAAGCACACAAATCAGCAAATGTTGGTAAACAGGGTTGCATTCAAGGCTTTCGTCTGCTATAATAATGTAATGTTTGAATTGTCTTAAATTGGGGGCTTTTCTGGGTAAATATTGATTTGATTAATTCACCTGCATATCTGCAAATAACCCTGACAATTTTTCAACCCTGTTACCCAATAAAGCATTAAACAAAATTTATGTTTCCTATTTTTAAGTTTTATTTTTAATCATGTTTAATGAATGTTTTCCCCATCAAAATATGGAAAGCACACAAATCAGCAAATGTTGGTAAACAGGGTTGCATTCAAGGCTTTCGTCTGCTATAATAATGTAATGTGTTTGAATTGTCTTAAATTGGGGGCTTTTCTGGGTAAATATTGATTTGATTAATTCACCTGCATATCTGCAAATAATTCATTCATAATTTTTTATCAATTGACAGCCCTAGTTTGGGTATTAGAGTTATCAGCATTACTATTGCAAGCATGTCATGTCTTTGTGTCCCAGCATCCAAAATATGAATTGGCAGGCCGTTAATGTTCAGACGAGGTTTGTCCAGTAAAGCCATTATAAAATGGGAATATTGCAGCAATGGAGGAGTCACATATTCATCAGGTTTATGTCGATTACAGCCTCAAAAAATAGATCTTGTTTGCTGAACAAACTCACAGAAAGGTCACGATGTTTGTCTTGATTTCGTGGATTAGTCATGGCTCAAGCATCTTACATGATGTTTGAGTAGATCAAGGGGGTTAAATCATGGGAGAATTAAAGGCCTGAAGTCTTTTATTCTCTGTTGTTGACTTTTGCTCCAGATTTAGCCCCCCTGTGATGGAGGCTTCAGTTACACTGGCCGTATAAGAAGAGCCAGATCGCTCTTGTTTCTAGAACAGCACCTGTCACCAGAACCCCTGAGTCACACAGCATGTATGGAAATGTTACTCCTCCTGCTGCCCTGTGTTTGGCAGGACATGACATGACTTTGCCTCTCAAGCAAAAGGAGAACATGACTAATGCGGCTTTGTTAAAAGCACTGGACACTACACCTTCATTGTAAATCCTTCTTCAGTGTGCAGACAACGATGACCCAGATTTTATAAGGAAAAGAATGCTTGATTTCAAACCTTGCAGTACTTTGTGTTCTCTTACTAACCCCTACCCAGGAGTTTGCACAATTAATCAAATCCATGTATTTTGTTATTTCAGAAGAGAGATAATGCTCACGACCCTATGAAATCAAAAGTTGGATATGCCTATGTCTGTTAGATTCGAGGATGTCTGTTAGATGTTAGATTTGAAATATCAAATATGTTTAGTATATTCCCTAAATATTTGCAGTGGTGATTTAGAAAAATTAAGAAACGTGAATATTGCAATGATTTAAGCATTATTGGAATATATATTGCTAAAGCCATAAAATTTTTTTGACTGGCAATTTGGGAGAATGAGATCGTTTAAGCGATGGTTCGCCCCAAACATGAAGTTCTGTCATCATCAGATTTAATTTAGGCTTTTTATTCATATAAAAGCTCAACGTTGCTTGCTTGCGAGAAGAAACCTATTTATATGTGACCCTGAACCATAAAACCAGTCATAAGGGTCAATTTTTTGAAATTGAGACCTAGTTTGGGTATTAGAGTTATCAGCATTACTATTGCGAGCATGTCATGTCTTTGTGTCCCAGCATCCAAAATATGAATTGGCAGGCCGTTAATGTTCAGACGAGCTTTGTCCAGTAAAGCCATTATAAAATGGGAATATTGCAGCAATGGAGGAGTCACATATTCATCAGGTTTATGTTGATTACAGCCTCAAAAAATAGATCTTGTTTGCTGAACAAACTCACAGAAAGGTCACGATGTTTGTCTTGATTTTGTGGATTAGTCATGGCTCAAGCATCTTACATGATGTTTGAGTAGATCAAGGGGGTTAAATCATGGGAGAATTAAAGGCCTGAAGTCTTTTATTCTCTGTTGTTGACTTTTGCTCCAGATTTAGCCCCCCTGTGATGGAGGCTTCAGTTACACTGGCCGTATAAGAAGAGCCAGATCGCTCTTGTTTCTAGAACAGCACCTGTCACCAGAACCCCTGAGTCACACAGCATGTATGGAAATGTTACTCCTCCTGCTGCCCTGTGTTTGGCAGGACATGACATGACTTTGCCTCTCAAGCAAAAGGAGAACATGACTAATGCGGCTTTGTTAAAAGCACTGGACACTACACCTTCATTGTAAATCCTTCTTCAGTGTGCAGACAACGATGACCCAGATTTTATAAGGAAAAGAATGCTTGATTTCAAACCTTGCAGTACTTTGTGTTCTCTTACTAACCCCTACCCAGGAGTTTGCACAATTAATCAAATCCATGTATTTTGTTATTTCAGAAGAGAGATAATGCTCACGACCCTATGAAATCAAAAGTTGGATATGCCTATGTCTGTTAGATTCGAGGATGTCTGTTAGATGTTAGATTTGAAATATCAAATATGTTTAGTATATTCCCTAAATATTTGCAGTGGTGATTTAGAAAAATTAAGAAACGTGAATATTGCAATGATTTAAGCATTATTGGAATATATATTGCTAAAGCCATAAAATTTTTTTGACTGGCAATTTGGGAGAATGAGATCGTTTAAGCGATGGTTCGCCCCAAACATGAAGTTCTGTCATCATCAGATTTAATTTAGGCTTTTTATTCATATAAAAGCTCAACGTTGCTTGCTTGCGAGAAGAAACCTATTTATATGTGACCCTGAACCATAAAACCAGTCATAAGGGTCAATTTTTTGAAATTGAGATTTATATATATTTGAAAGCTGAATAAATAAGCTTTCCATTAATGTATGTTTGTTAGGATAGGACAATATTTGGCCGAGATACAAAAAAATGTGAGAAGATTGCCTTTAAAGTTGTCCAAATGAAGTCCTTAGCAATGCATATTACTAATCAAAAAGTTTTTATATATTTACAGTAGGAAATTTGCAAAATATCTTCATAGAACATGATCTTCACGTAATATCCTAATGATTTTTGGCATAAAAGAAAAATCTATAATTTTGTCCCATACAATGTATTTTTGGCTATTGCTACAAATATACACCAGCGACTTAAGACTGGTTTTGTGGTCCAGGGTCACATATATGAATGAACAAGCCAATTAATTAATCTCTTTAAGGTATTGTAATAGCATTTTTGTTTAACCATCATTTATAGTAAATAACCAAATATAATTTCAATCGATTGACAACATTCAATATAAATCTTAATAATCTAAATCATCCAGTGCTGCTAGAAAGACCATGCCAGTCGTCCTCCTACCACCTACTGATATCAAACAGCTATGTCTGTGCCTTCAACTAAAGGCTATTGACCTTAATAAAACAATGTCAATGTAACTTCCTGTTTCAACAGAAGATTGAAGCAGGACAGAAACCTATGCTTGTGATTTCATGGGGTCTTTAAAAAAAACCTTTATAGGGATAACAAAATACATTCCATAAAGACTGTATCCCTAGTTCCACCCTGAAAAATGAAATCCACATTTTATTGTTTTCATATTTTTGTATCATGCTACTGCTGATTTAGCCTTTGCTGTTGGTGCAGGTGGGCTCAGTGGTGGCGGTGGGCTGGATCCGCTCCAAGAAGGCTGTGGACTGGCATCTCTTCCGGAACATCTTCCTGGCCTGGTTTGTGACCGTCCCTATAGCAGGCCTCTTCAGCGCTGCTGTCATGGCCCTGTTTGTCTACGGCATACTGCCTTACGTTTGAGATGGAAAATGAGGAAGAGAGGGAGGTATAGGAAGGTAATGACAGGAAAAATAAAACCGAGACACAGACAGAAAAAAAAAATCAAGATATTAGGGGACAGCCAGAGGGTGGGGAGAGTCTTCAAATGCTGCCTGGAAAAGCATCCAGAATCCTTTGACTTAAATATCCTTAATCTTGTCAAGAGTATTTATTTACGTTTCATTTTTCTATTGTTTTGTTGACATGTTACCATAAACCGTAAAATCTTTGACTCGTGATTTCAAATGGTACATTTTCAAAGTTCCAAAAAAATAGCTCTCATACATTTGTGGTCCTACATGTTCAAGGGAGTAAACAGATGGAGAACAATTGCCAATATCGCAAACAATATCAATACATGAAGAATTGGACTAGAAAATTGGTTTTATGGCACAATTCACAGTACATTGGCACAAAATATAGCTACTAACTACTCTTGGGCCTCTAAATGTAATGTTTTCAAATGTGTGGTGTGCTGTAATCGCACCTTTATTCCCATTCGCTGAAACATCAAACTTCTACATAAACGACACTGAGAAGCATCCTGCTGTTTAAAACCTACATTAGCTGCATTGCTAAAATCATACCTCAGTCAACCCTCTATGCCACATAAAAGACAAGTGACAAAACTGTGCTCTCTCATAATACAAGAAATATTATAAGATGCATCATTTTTGTAGTGGTTAATGTGTAAGAATTCCCTGTTCTTTTATTGTTGTATTTATTTTTACCATTCATACCTTTATAGAAACACAAGAGGTGTGAAGACTAAATCATATTTTGAACTATATATGCTACTATAATTTCTACTGTGTATATATTTAGCTATGGATTTTAGATTTTTAGTTTTGCCTTATTTCGTGGTCTTATATTTTTACATTTAAGGAGACTTTAGACCAGGTTTGGTAGTTGCATGAAACGTATGCTTTCCAAGCATATGAAAAATATCAAATATGAAAAAACTATTTTAACTATGACAAGACACTACATCCATAATCCTGTGAGCATATATCAAAAATAATTATCTCATTGCCTACCCTAAAAGATCCTCATATTAGTGAAAACTAAATCACCGGCATTTAAAGATAAATATTTAATGAGCTGGTTAGGAGTCATATCTGAGGTATTACATTTTAAACTTTCTGTAATTCACCTTTTGTATACATATCAATAGGTGATTTTTTTTTTAAAATCTCTTTTTGGAAGATTAATAGCCAAAGATTGTGATGATCAAGTTTAATTGCCATAGTCTTTGACAGTGTTTGTGATTACAGTCTAAACAATATCCAAACTAAAGTAATCAGTTTGTCTCTGTATTGTGGATAGTATATAAAGGATGCTAGTAGTTCGGTCTAGCAATAATATGTAATGTTCTTAGAGCCCAATGGATGATGCCAATATAAATACCTGTATGTGCCGGAACAGCCAAAATCACTTAAGGAGAACCCATAAAACCAGCACAAACACACAAACATAGATTTACCCACGTCACATATATGATGTATTGAGAGGCAGTGTTGGATGCCAGGCCTAAATCAAATCAGCATCCAGATACTTGATTCAGCCTTCAGTTCTAATATCACATTGAGTTTTTTAACATCAGGTCAGTATGTGATTCAGTGGCACATATGTGTCAAAAGGTCAATATTTAACGACCTATTTGTGGCCCCGCCCTGACACCACAAGAAACCAAAAAGTCTCATTATTTCAGTCCAAAAATGGCCAGGCTCACATCAAATGACCATGTGATATCAGGTCAACTGGGCTTAGATGTTTGTCAGACACTGTTGTAATCTGCCTCGGGATAAGTCACCAGATTTGGAAACTACAAACGTGTGGCTTTGAACCAATGCAAAGTGTTGCTGTTTCTTTCTTTTTCTTTTTTGTGTGTTTTGTTTTTATTTTTCATCAAGAACAAATCTATGCTTATATGGCCATTTGCCTTGTTGTGCTTTACTGTTTGTTGGATACAGTAACTTCAGTACTGTGGTGTTTACATTGTAATCATATTGTAGAATAACTCATTGCAGTTGCCTAAAAATGCCAATCGACTAACTATTAATCACAAATTAAATATGAAATAACCAGGCATAGTGCAAAGGTGTTTCATGTCATTTTGTGTTTAGCAGAGTGAATCATGATGATCCTGCTATATGTAGTAGACAACTTTACATGGTGGATATGATACAAAAAAAAAAAGATAAAAGAAATTAATAGATATAAATTTCATTAAACTATATTTTTCTACATATATAAGTTCTACCTGGGTGGTGACACAAACACACAAACATAGATTTACCCACGTCACATATATGATGTATTGAGAGGCAGTGTTGGATGCCAGGCCTAAATCAAATCAGCATCCAGATACTTGATTCAGCCTTCAGTTCTAATATCACATTGAGTTTTATCAGAAGAGGAGTTTGTTTAACATCAGGTCAGTATGTGATTCAGTGGCACATATGTGTCAAAAGGTCAATATTTAACGACCTATTTGTGGCCCCGCCCTGACACCACAAGAAACCAAAAAGTCTCATGATTTCAGTCCAAAAATGGCCAGGCTCACATCAAATGACCATGTGATATCAGGTCAACTGGGCTTAGATGTTTGTCAGACACTGTTGTAATCTGCCTCGGGATAAGTCACCAGATTTGGAAACTGTACAAACGTGTGGCTTTGAACCAATGCAAAGTGTTGCTGTTTCTTTCTTTTTCTTTTTTGTGTGTTTTGTTTTTATTTTTCATCAAGAACAAATCTATGCTTATATGGCCATTTGCCTTGTTGTGCTTTACTGTTTGTTGGATACAGTAACTTCAGTACTGTGGTGTTTACATTGTAATCATATTGTAGAATAACTCATTGCAGTTGCCTAAAAATGCCAATCGACTAACTATTAATCACAAATTAAATATGAAATAACCAGGCATTGTGCAAAGGTGTTTCATGTCATTTTGTGTTTAGCAGAGTGAATCATGATGATCCTGCTATATGTAGTAGACAACTTTACATGGTGGATATGATACAAAAAAAAAAAGATAAAAGAAATTAATAGATATAAATTTCATTAAACTATATTTTTCTACATATATAAGTTCTACCTGGGTGGTGACTTCTCACATGGAGAGTAATCTGGGCTCCTGAGCAGTGATTATGTTGAAGTACCAGTAACTATATTAAGAAAATTCAGTGCTGAATACCACTGAACAATTTCTTAAAGATGGTTCTATCGAAAAGAGTCTAAAAAGTTCAGGCAGGGGACCGTAATGTGGATTGGTTCCATATATCCATTGTTTTTTTTCTTGCCCAGGGATGTCTCTCCCTTGTGTGAGAGCGAGTGGTTGTGAGTTGTTAAAATTCCACCAGTTTTTCATGATTATTTTTTGAAAAGTAAGGCTGAATAACTTTGTAATTTTGTTTCCCTGAAATGCAATATTGAGCTGCCAGAATGAGGTCAATCGGACCTCCACCAGCAGTGGCGATAACACCGTTTAGAGTCAGACAGGGACACAGCAAGATTCAGTAAAACTTTTTACTAACCTGCATCCGATATTTTGCATCAACCTGGCGATATAATCTGCCTTTCTGCTACTGGTTTGTTTGGTTTGTGAAATCTTCCACATGCGCAGTAAAAAACATTCTTTGCGCTAATACACGAACGCAGACGCTTGGCGCTCTTGTTTTGGTCTCGCGCTAACAAACCTCAATATTCAGAGAGCGGTTAAATTAAATTTTTAAATGTATCTGACATTAAACTAAATGTTAATAAATTGTTGCTGCGTCATGACTAGTTGATCCACAAGTAATTTACGCTATTTTGACGATGTAAGCGCCCCTTGCGGCAATGCTGAGAGTTGCGTTGAATTTAGGAATCACGTCTGCGTTCAGGTATTTGCGTAACCGAACATGAGGCTGCAGTAGTTTGGCCACAGAGTTAGTTTTGAGTTTTGAATGGCATGTGAACCACTACTATACTAAATCACAGTCAGAAACTTCAAAGCCGTTCTGTGTTTTTAGATGGACATGTTATGATTGGACAAATACAAAGAGATCGCTATGTAAGGCTTACAGAAACTAAATCATCCATATCCACAACCAGTGTGTTGATAAAAGGTTTCTTAACTGTTTTTGGCGTCAAACTAAATGTTAATAAATTGTTGCTGCGTCATGACTAGTTGATCCACAAGTAATTTACGCTATTTTGACGATGTAAGTGCCCCTTGCGGCAATGCTGAGAGTTGCGTTGAATTTAGGAATCACGTCTGCGTTCAGGTATTTGCGTAACCGAACATGAGGCTGCAGTAGTTTGGCCACAGAGTTAGTTTTGAGTTTTGAATGGCATGTGAACCACTACTATACTAAATCACAGTCAGAAACTTCAAAGCCGTTCTGTGTTTTTAGATGGACATGTTATGATTGGACAAATACAAAGAGATCGCTATGTAAGGCTTACAGAAACTAAATCATCCATATCCACAACCAGTGTGTTGATAAAAGGTTTCTTAACTGTTTTTGGCAGCCTAGTGACATTCTCCTATAGTGTACTAATATCATTTATTAAGTTTCCTTGTTCTTATCTGCACTTGAAAATAGAATGTAGCCCAATCCTCTGTTGGCCTGCTGATTGCCTGCTGTGTGTCGTCTCTATTGCCATGATGTGAATGCTATGCTGTTACTGTCTGGTACCATCTTAAGACAGGGCTTTAGTTTTAACAAAACCCCCATATCTGCATATGTACTGTATTGCTGTTTCCTTTCTTTTTTGGAACTTTTTTTGTGAAAGTTGTCTGCATTTTAACTAATTAAATTATGGGAATTAAAATTACAAAGAATAACAATCTGCTGATATCCTGTTTTAATTTGGTGATTGATGTTTTAATGTTGAAGATGAGGATTTTTTTTCTTACAACACAGCAACCAGTGGTGCGGGTTTGGTGTGGGACTATCTGTTTGGCCAACCAGTGGAAGATGGGGGGAAATCTATTTTTTGTTTTAAATAAAAATTTGTAGAAATACCCTATGCAGACATATTTGACAGCCATGAATAATATTTCAGACAAAAGTGTACAATGATGGAGTTATTGAGATTGAGTGGGTCAGACTAATCTATACCAAAGTCCCAGTCAACTTGAATGGGAGAATACTGAAATATCTTCCGAAATTCACATTTAAATAACACTTTTAAATCAGCAACAAAATGTCCCATATACATGGTGGCCACCTTATGTGGAATGAACCATCTTTATTTCATTGTGAGTGAAAACTTTTTAAAATACGTTTATCAAAAGTGTCATTTTTTTAGCCAACATGGAAAAAAAAATAGAAGTGTGTAACACGAGTATTAATTATTTAATAAATAACAATAAACTAAAAAATGAGGCAGACTAAATTTATTCAACGACAATGACAAAATTAAAAGATATAGCCTTCACTCTTGCTCAATGCTTTTAGTAAGTTTAGTAGCTGTCAAACAATTAATCGCATCCAAAATAAAAGTTGTTGTTTACATATGTGTGTACTGTGTATATTTATTATAATAATAATATATAAATACACACACATGTATATATTTAAGAAAAATATGTTACGTTTATATGTTAAATATATTTATATATGATATAATTTATAGGAATATAAATATATAAATATTTTCAAAATATATGCTGCATGTGTGTGTCTTTATATATACATAATAAATATACAGTACACACACATTATGTAAACAAAAACTTTTATTTTGGATGCGATTAATCGCGATTAATCATTTGACAGCACTATAATTAAATAAAACATTTTAGTTTTAAATTTACAGAGTGCCTAAAGAGATATAGTTATGGGAAAAATTAGTTGGGAGGAAAAAAATGTACTTGCACATTTTCATAAGAAACTTGCAAAATTTCTCTAACAAAATTTTGTTTTAAATTGTAGTTTTTAATTTATTCACCTAAAAGATTTCAAACGGAATAGTTCAGAGAAATGTGGGGAATCAAACATGAGCCCACAGATGTCTCGCAAAAACTTATTTGACAGAATGCAAAAGTTTCTCGGAAGAACAGACGTTTTTGTTGCTTTTTCGAGAGAGAAAGTTTCATAAGGGAAGAAAAAAGATTTCCCATCATCATGTGCCCTCAAGGCTCCAATCAAATCCTATTTGAGATCTCAGATGTTATTTTGCCAGGTTATCCTCATTCTAGAGGTAAACACTTCAGATTTCTTCTGGAATACAGAATCATAGCTTCGGGTAATAAATCTAAATTCTCCCAAAAAAAAAAAAAACTCCTCAAAAGGTCCGCGGTATTCACATTGATTCATTCCACCTTAAGTTGTACTAAAAGCAAAATAATTAAAAAGTCAAAGATCTCCTCTACCAGTGCTCTTTATGACAACCATGAGCCTTGACCATCTCAGGCGTTGGAGTTTGTGTAATGCTGCTCGATTTGGGAGCGTCCGGGTTCTCTGCCAGTACCTCGCTCTGACTACACAGCCTCAGAGCCTGAGAGATAAACATGTCCAGGTCAAAATGTTCTTCCCCGGAAGGATCCAGCTGTGAGGGCTCTTCATCATTTTCACAACGTATGGAGGAAGACGGGTAATTTGATGAACCGTGATGAGGCGAGGAAGGAGAAGTGGGCAGCAGAGACGGAGGAGCGGTGAAGAACGGGTTAGGACTCCTCCTGCTGTCGTGAGGGCTGGACAGTTGCAAAGCCGCTGGGATTTGCATGTGAGAATGAGGCAGCATTGTAGGAGACAGCGGCTGAGGAGGTGAACACGGGGAGGTGAGAGCTTCTTGAGGAGAACCGGGCGAGTGGAGCCCAGACTGCGTGCTCTCCACCCAGCGCGAGATCTCCTGGAACAGATCTCCAGGCTCGGTGAGAAGCTTCTCCACGCTGCCCCCTCTTGGAGCAGACATGCTGTTGTGCCTCCAGTGAGACAGGTCCAGTATTAGCTTGGGTTCAGAGTAGTGCTGCGGCTTCCCTTCCCGCCACGCGATCTTATCCAGGTAGGACGGAGAGCCCACTTTGTAATCGCAGGAGCGGCCGCAGTCCAGCTCCGTGAACTGGCCGCAGACGCGCTCCAGAGACGAGTGGGACTGCTCCAGGAAGCGCTCTGCAGAGCTGCTGTGGGAGTACTTGCGAGGGTCTACCTGAGCCTCCTCGATGTGGGCCGCTGAACTCGCTCGTGGATCTCTTTGAACTTCGTCGTCTTCTGCCTCTCCCAGTTCAGAGACGCTCTGCATGCAGCCGCACTGCTCCTGCTGCGGCCAATAAGCATCTGATGACAGACTCCCATCATACCTGGGAAAAAAGTGCATACACCGTTTTAGCACACATATGAACATTTTTTACAATTTACAATGAGGTGCATATTGGTAATTAGTCAGAGCGTTATTTAAAAGAATGTTTTAGGTTAAAAACACTTCAATCTCTTTTTCCACAGTTTTAAAAAAAAATTGCATTAATTGACTACGTTTTTTTAAAATAAAACATTGTGTTTTATAATGTAAGGTACTGTACCACCAGCATAAACAAAAAATCAATTAAAACATTTTATATTAATAACTTATTAAACAAGCATTATTAAATAAGATTTGCAAACTATACTTATTTTTTTAAACTTTTGTGTATTTATTTACTGGATTAACATTAAAAATACATAAAAGAATACAGTACTGTTCAAAAGTTTGCGGTCACTAAGAATAAAATTTATACTTTTATTTAGCAAAGACACCTTAAATTGATCAAAAGTGACAGTAAAGACAGTAAAAGATTTCTCTGTCACATAAAAGCTTTTTTTTTGTTGAACTTTCTATTCATCAAAGAATCCTGAAAAAAATGGATCATGTTTTCCACAAAAAATATTAGGCAGCACAACTGTCTTTGACATCGTTTTTTGAGCATCAAATATTTTTGGATATTTTAATAAAAACAATCTTACATATTGTGCCTTTAATGTTATCATCAATACAATTTTTTATATTCTTGACACTGCTTTTTTTTTATTTCTCACCTCCCACTCTCCCCCTGGGCCCAGGTGATGAATTATTTGTGAGATTTTAGCAGGCAGCCTCAGTAGGGTGGATCTGAGGGGTGATGGTGACACAAACGAGAATGATATTTACATATCCTGCTTACAAAGAGAGCCTTTGTCTTCTCACTGGAGCTGATTCACTAAGACCTTTGAAACCGTTCACAAGCCAGACGAACAAAGACTGAAAATGAGCAATAATAAGAAAAAACGGCATAAATCAGACATCTTGACCAACGAACGTCTGTGACGCTGGGTTTGTGCGGTCAAGAACTGCAACTTGCACGCTGAGAAGGGCTCGACACTGAGGATTTCCTGCTGTCAACACCTCACATTTCACTGGCCAAAAATCAACAAATATGATAAATAAATTTTTTTTTACAAAGTGTAACTAATATTTTTACATTTAAAATATTTAATACATTATATTTAAATATTTAATACATTAATAAGATTACTTTCATTTTATTATATTTATATATAAATACTGTAATATATACTTAAAATACTTTAAAATGACTGAGCACCATATCAGCATATTGATATTCAGTAAATTCAGTTTTGCTATCACAGGAATAAATTTCATTATAAAATATATTAAAATAATAAAAACATTTTTTCTAAAGAAAAAAAAATAATTATTTTAAATTGTAGTCATATTTTTAATCAAGTAAATGCAGCCTTGGCGAGCTTAAGAGATGTCTTTCTAAATCTTTAAAAACATTAATTATTGTTATGAATTTTAATTATTACAAACTTTTAACAGTAGTGTAATATCTAAAAACATGTGTATTCATTTGTTTTTCAAGTTACCAAAGCAATCTTAAGTTAAATCTGTTACAAAGGCAATCATAAGTCGTTAAGAAATATAATTTAGCAATATAATAAAGCTTACAGTATGGTCTCTTATAATCAATGGAGTATCTGTTTAAAATGGCTGCTTACGCTGGTCAAGCCATCTTAAAAGAGCTACTGAACAGGAAAATGGGCCCTCTGGTTCCTTATTAAAATTATAGATGACGTTCAGTGTCCACATCATCTTTATTCTCCATGTGGTATTGAAGGAGTATAACCATCTGGGGCCCTCTCAGTCGCCTGCCTGCACTGCTAGCATATGTGGATCCAGAAGCTTCTGTGAATCCAAGGTCCACTTATCTGTGATCCTCTAGATTTGGGAACTGAATGTTCCCTCCATGCTGAGAGGGGAACAGACACTCTCAGCACTGAGTGGCAGGAACTCGCTCTGTGAATGGGTGAAAGGAACTACTGCCCTTAATTCACTGAAGCTCACTGCACACTGAAACACTGATGATTCTTTAGACTAATACAACCAGGAGTATCATGCACCTATATTTTAAAGGGGCACAGGTGGCAGTCCAGGCTCATTTGGTATCTCTGGTATATGAGACATGACAAAAATATAAGGGTATTTTTCACATAAGAGTAACTGTATATAGAAGGGGTGGGCGATATACCGGTATATATTGAATGGGAGTTATTTTTGCTGCTTTATAGGCCTTGAACGGTTCAATACACACACTTGTATGTGTCAAAATGCCCGTCTATGCAAGTATCCTTTTAAACACAGTAGGTCTTAAGTGAAAGCAAACAGCTGAGAAAGAAAACACATTTGTAACAGTATACTGGATCCGGGCAGCTCTTAAAGTGACAGCAGTCTAATATTCCTGCTGTCAGTCATGTTAATCAAATCACTTTTGTAACTTTAATAATAAGAAATATACATTTAGTTTACACAGTGAAGAATATGCAGTTTTATACATTTGACTACTTCATACAATGTATGTAGCATTTCTTATTTATTTGTTCTACTGTAGTTATTTTGTCCTACTGATTGTAGTTAGTTTCTTATTCTTATTTAATTACTGACTATTTACTTGTCTTCAGTGAGCTTGAGTTTTTTTAGGCTAATATTAGTTATTTGTTATATTGACACTGGTGACAAGAATTTCTATGGTATCAAAAGTTTTGATACCATAAAGACCTTATGTAAAGCAAAAATAACTATATCGTGATTCGTGATATATATATATATATATCGTTACCGCAAAATAAAATTACTCATATGGTGACAAGATTTTGGTCATATCGTCCACACCTAGTATATAGGGATAGATCCTCAAAAGTTAAACCACACTTAAAATGTATGAATCCTATTGCATTAGATTGAAGAAATATATATATATGGAAAAATGCTAAAGCTTTTCACAAACCTACACTGTAAAAACAATTCCGTAAAATTTATGGTAAAAAAACGGCAGCTGTGGTTACCGGAATTTTATCGTAAAAAATACGGCAGCAACGTTTTACGTTTTTAAGGTATTAACCAAAATTTCCAGTTAAATACCGTAATTTCATTAACTGATATAATGTTAATATACCAACCTATTTGAAGTACTGAAATCTGTTTTGTACCTTTGTAATACACTGATAACCACCAAATGCAGGTTGTGATGAGAAAGTCACATGATGAACCAAAGCCCATCACAAGCAGCTTTTAAATAATAACATACATAGAAGGTGCACAGTCTCATTCACACAAACACTAAACACCATCATGGTAACACACATGAAACTGAAATAATGCAATAAACATTCATTTAACAACATTAGGTGTAACACACAACCCTAATATACAAAACTGATAAGAAAAAAACTAAGAAGAAACAGTTATTTCAACAAAAAAACATCAAATTTGAAATGTAACGCAGGGAATTCTGGGAATGTCAATTTACGGTTATTCACTGTAAATTATACGGTATTTTTCACTTCCAAAAACGGTATACTACCGTAAAATTTATGTCCAATACATGTAATGTCCAATACAGTTTTTCACCGTATATAGTAGGGGAATTTACCGTTAACCATTTAACAGGTTTTTACTGTAGCATTTATACAGTCTTTTACCGTTAAATTCACGGTCATTTTTTACAGTGTAACATAACTTTTGAGCCAAATTTGCAAAATATACCAACTCAGTTCCCCTCAAATGAGTGTTGCCATGTCCACTAGATATAAGTGACTTTAGGCTTGTTTTCATTGGTTGGTTATTCACATACACTACCATTCAAAAGTTCAGGTTTGTAATTTCTTTTTAAAGAAATTAATACTTTTGTTTCAGCAAGATGCATTTTTTAATCAAAAGTGACAGTAAACACATTTAAAATGTTACAAAATATTTCTATTTCAAAGAAATGCTCTGTCTGTCTACTCATCAAATAACGCTGGAAAAAGAAATATATCATGGTTTTCATACAAATATTAAGTAGTACAACATGGATAATAATATAAGAGTTTGAGCACCAAATCAGCATTAGTTGTTTATTTTGTACTTTTATTTGACTATATACTAGGTTTAGCAAGATCTGGCAACACTACAGGTATTGTACTGTATACCAGCACATATTCCACTCATTTTTCCTAATCAGAACATTTCTGCTGAATACAGCTTAATCATTTTGCACAATATGTCTATTGTTTTATAGTTAAACATATAGAAAGCCTTTCTTTCTTAAAATGTAATATAAGTGCAATAATGCAATAATAAGTGTGGCTAAAGTGTCCAAAAACTTTTTGAAGCCACTGAAAAGAGAGCAGTTTTGACATTTTGATAATATATACATATTTTGAGTGACATGAGAGCACAGGGATGCTGCTCTTATAGTCTGCAATCTCAGCTATCTTCTGATCAGTGCATGGCATTTCAAACAGGGCTCCTCAAAGAATAGTCCTAGTACTACTATAATTTCCTGGGCTGTTTTTATTCTAGCTGTTCCTAGAATAAACTATGACTATCCCCTTTCCCTGATCATTCACCCCACCTTGTTCTGTCTGACACAAAGCTCTCCATTCATGCCGTCCTCCCGGTCTGCTAGTATTACACAGTGAGCTCTGCTAAATAATACAGAAGCACAATGAGACAGTAAAATGCCACATTAATCTTTCAGCTCCCATAACATCAAGATAATTGTTCATAATTATTGTGTAACGCAATAGTATAATGTTAAAGTTTGAACACATCTATGAGCAATGCACGGAAATATGACGTAACTATAGATTGTAGTTGTTCTTAGGCCACCAGGATCAAGCAGGCAATCATATCTGCATAAAACAAACCATTATGCCCAAAAAATGCTTCAATAAACTCTCTTAACTCCAAAAAATCTTTATCAATCACAGGTTTGAATGCATTATGTGGTGTACAAAATTGAAAGCATGGGAGAAGGTTTTGTGCAAGACCGAAAAACAA